CTTGGGAGGCTGAGGCAGAAGGATTGCTTGAGCCCAGGAGTTTGAGGTTGCTGTGAGCTAGGCTGACGCCACGGCACTCACTCTAGCCTGGGCAACAAAAAGCGAGACTCTGTCTCAAAAAAAAAAGGAAGAAAAAAAAGAAATATCAAAACAGCTGGAAGTAATGGAGAGTTGTCTAGGTTTGGTTTAAATATGGGGATCTTACTCATAGAAACTATTTTTGTAATTTGGAAATTGCTATTTGTGGTGCAAAGAAGGTAGCCTATATACCTGGAGAGGGGTTTTTTTTGTTCGTTTCTACACAACCCTAAATTAGCTCTCTTTATCTAACTGTCCTTAATTGGGAGCTCTAGCCAGGATTTCTCATTTTGAGGAAGATCTGTTTTCTATGTATTTCATGAGGAAAAGTGTAGGAATTACTTTGAGTCTTGAGACTGTGCCATCTCACATTTACGCTTGCCATGTCCCACGATTCTGTCTTACAGCCGAACTGCTCATTTTCAGTGTCCCAATTGTTTATGAGAAGTACAAGGTAAGCATTTGTCTGTTCTGAATCAAATGTACCAGTTGATGTATGCCTAGTTTTAGTTCATTTTTGAGACCTTGAAAGTTCAGAGTAATCTTTTAATAACCAATCTCATTTTGTAAGTCAAGTGCCTGTAAGAAACTAGTAACAACGATTTCTTCCAAGGAGAGAAACTAGAATTCAGGACAGAGATGAGTCAGAAAGACGCTTAGTTTTTTCATACCTTGTGTGTCTTTTGAGTTTTTATCACGTGGATGCATTATCTATTCAGAAATAATAAGTTGGAAAAATGCTTAAATGCGTAAAAACTGTCTAAAAAGAAACTTAAATTGGTTATTAAGGAAATCCATTGGTTGTGAACAGATGTTTGTACTGTGGGATGATGTGTACCAAGTGTACTGGGTGCTGTGAGGTTTTTCTTTATGGATTGTCATCCATCAACAGACTTTTTGGATTTTTGCTATTAAATGATTAGTCTGACCCAGGGGCCATAACATATTTATGACTACAGAATACAGATTAGACACCATTTCTAGTATCAAGAAAACACTGTACTGCAATATCTCTAAGGAAAATACCTACCAAGTAAGACTGACTTCTGCAAAAGATGCATGATTTTTTCTTTAACAAAGTGGGGGACATTTATAGCATAATTTGAAGTCTAAAACCAGAAGTTTTTAAAATACTTTTAAAAACTGGGCATTATTTTCATTTTCTAGACTAGTCAATAATGTTTTTTAAAAAAATGATTAAACTAGACAAAGGAAAATTGTTAATCTTTGTGTTGCCACAACTGAGTCTACTTTCCTTCATTAAAGACCCAGATTGATCACTATGTTGGCATTGCCCGGGATCAGACCAAGTCAATTGTTGAAAAGTAAGTACATTTAGGGACCACATTTCATCATGATGTGTACTTTTTTTTCCCAGTTATCTTTAATCCCCTGCATAAAATGCTGATGCCAAAGAAAGTAATCTTCACCCCGATAATAACCTTGGTTAAGGCCAGGTGCAGTGGCCTTAACCCACTTGTAATCCCAGCACTTTGGGAGGCTGAGGTAGGAGGATTACTTGAGGCCAGGAGTTTGAGACCAGCCTGGGCAGCATAGCAAGATCCCCTCTTTACAGAAAAATAAATAAATAAAATAAAAATAAGAGGAAACTATGAATATAAATATCCAAACAGGTCTGGCTTGATGCCAGGGTCTTCACCTGCTTTTTATTTGCTTTTTTAGGTATACATTAGTGCTAAAACCAGGGGGACAGCTAGCAGAAATATGTATATGGTTGTTGTTTACTCCTGATTGGTGAAAGATGGTTGTAGCTCAGATTCAGACCTAATGTCTTGATTGCCAGTGTTAGCTGATGTGGTCACCTGCTGTGGATGTGACACTGTGGAGGGTAGCCTTGACAGTCACTTAGGGGAATGAACGACCATAGTGACAGGTAGCCTTAATTATTTCAGAACACCTTTGTCACTATAAAGGGCAGCTTTAATGTCCTGTGAAGGACTAGAAACTCTTGCTAGCTTCTGTGGTCATGAGAACCAGGAACTGATGACCCATGTCCTTTTAACATGTTTCCTTGACACTTCTGTTTCCTTTTGTGACACTAGTGGGTGATCTGGTATTCCTTTATCTGTACTTCTTAGAGCCAGAGAAATGGGCTTTTGCACTACAGGTTCGTAGAGCATAGTCAGCAAGCATCATGTCCAGACACCTCATTCTTCTCTGGAACCCCCAGTGAAGGACACAGGAGGTTTTGGCAGTGAAAGACGGCAGGCATGGTGGCGGGGTGGGGAATGGGCTGGGGGTCTTTGTGGATCCTGCAGGCTCATCCCAGGCTAGACTTGGCCCCTGCTTCTTTTTATCCATCCCTGTGAAAATGGGAGAATGTTTTCACATTGCTTAAGCAATGGCTTCTATTAAATAGCATCACTGTTAAAATAAAAACCTTGAGCAAATGCTTATGTTTTCATATTCATTTTTTTTCCCTTTCCTCAATAGGATCCAAGCAAAACTCCCTGGAATCGCCAAAAAAAAGGCAGAATAAGCATCTGGAAACCAGAAATGCAACAGTTACTAAAACACCATTTAATAGTTATAACATTGTACTTGTACTATGAAGGAACATGCTCAGTGTCAGCTTGAGCTTGCATTCCAAGCTTTTTTTTTTTAATTTGGTGTTTTCTCCCCTCCTTTCCCTTAACCCTCAGTATCAAGCACAAGAATCGCTGGACTTAAAAAAAACTTAGAACCCAAAATAATAAAGAAAGAATCAAATTCATAGGATAAGTCAATACCTTAATAGTGGTGGAGCTTTTACCTATAGCTTGAAAAGGGAAAGATTGGAGGTAAAAGAGAAAATAAAAGATAGAACACCATCTCTTAGGTCCTTCTATCGAACTTTCAGGACTAGTCTTACTCAGTTTCCCATTGTAGTTTTGCCCTTGTTTTTAAAGTTAAAAAATAATGATTAACTTATGAAGAAATTATTTGGGGACAGGAGTGTTTTTCTTTCCTTGGGTTTTTTGCAGCCCTTGGATCCCATCTTCCTGCCCCACAATGTGAGCAGCTACTCCTAATATTCCTCTTCTTCACTTAATGATATAACTTTCAACTCTGTGAATAACTTAGAGGTGACAGTGGTAATTCCTGATTCCCAGAATGCCATCTGATTAAAAAAGAATTGAAACAGAAGTCGGGTCGGAGAGGGAGTTCCAGGAGCACTGCGGTGGCCCTTACTCCACCTAGGGAAGGAAAGCTCCACCATTTGGGAAGGTGGTTTCTGTGTCTGTTCTCTTGGACACCAGTTCTGAGGATTAGTTTGAGGACTCATTCCCGAACGTGCTTTCCTCCCTCTCTTCTGTCCACCTCCCCTCGAGTTTAATAAATATGGTTGTACTTTTCTTATTATGAAATAAATGTCTGTAACTGCTGTACACTGCTGTAAACTTGTTAGAGAAAAAAATAATCTGCATGTGGGCTCCTCAGTTATTGAGTTATTGTAATCCTATCTCAGTCTGTGGGGGGGGGGCATTTTCAAGAAGTGAAGTACAGAAACATAAAAAGCCTTTATCTTGATCTTTTCCCTACAGCTTCCTTTTTCACATTCTGCATCTTTAGCCTGTGTTCATCATTTTAGCCTAAGGACCAAAGCCAGTCTGGCTTGAGAGATTGTGTGTGTCTGTGGTTAAAAGACCACAAATTAGTGTAGGAAAGTGTATTCTGTGGTTCTTTCGGAGTTTTAACTGCTTTGAGGCTAGCTTATGGGTGTGTGTTGTTTTGAAGCTTATTTCATTTTCAGTCCCATAAAACGTCCTACAAGCACCTCTGACATGGTCCAGGGTGCTCCTTTGGAGAGTGTTTTCCAAGAAGTTTTAGGTGAGGGTGACCAGGCAGGGCCAGATTGTGATGGGCTCTGTGTACAATTAAAAGGCAAGAGAACAACTCACACTGACATCAGGTGGAGGGCAGTTGGGAAGCTTTGATTCCCACTTGAGGTTAAGCTTCTTCCTCCCCTTCAACATGAAAATGTAGCAGACTTGAAAGAAAAGTCATTTGTGCGCTCATTCAGGTGTAACTCGGTCATGATCATCCAGAGGGACATGCACTGGTGAGTTTCAATAAGGGCCCAAGGTACTGCAGCTGTAGAAAGTAGTGGGAGGAAATTTGCTTTCCACTTTTTTTTTTTTTTTTTTTTTTTTGGAAAATTACTTAGGCATTTGGAGGGGTAAAAGGTACCCTTGCCTTACTCTATTTTATTTTCTTAGTCCCCTTTCCTTTTGAATATTGTTTAACTGATTCACTGTTGTAGTAGGAAATGCATTCTCCAGTGCCATCCTTTGCTCTCCCAGGAAGTCAATGCACTGATCGTCTTTTTGGGCTTCCCCTCCAAAGGACCTCTTTCTGCACTGGAAGCCTCCACGTCTAGCTCTTTTCTTTTGTTGCTGCTGTGTTTAAATAATTGAAGAGATCTTTGTGCCACGCAGGCAGGAATTTTTTTGTTTTGTTTTTAAGAAAAACCTATAGGTGAAACAATTACTAATGAAACTGTGTGCGTGTCTGTGCGTGCAACATAAAATACAGTAGCACCTAAGGAGCTTTAATCTTGGTTCCTGTAAAACTGCAAGTCGATGTGGTATTAATAAAAAAAGAACATGGCAACTGTGGTGTCATTCTGCTAACTTTATTCTTTATACACAGTTTCGGTAAAGTGAGGTCCAAACAAGGCTTCCACTCCCCCCATCCTCACTTCACTTTGGGGACTTTAAAAAGCAACTAATAGTTGATACTGGTAGGGATTCCCAAGATTGTAGAATTTCTGTAGTAGAGCACAGCTGTGCATTTGATTTCTGAAAGAAAATAAGACCCTCTAAGAGGTGACCTTAGCAGAAAGATGAGGAGTGGAAGGGGCCAGGAGAGTCTGTTGCCCCAGTTCACACCAGCCTGGGAATGTTCCTGCCTGCAACATGAAGCAGCCTATAAATCACACACAGCCACGATGCACTTAAATTGGGAGTTAGTCACCATGGAAAATGGGAACCAAATACATCAGGTCTTTGCTAAAAGAACTCAAGCAGTCATCTCTGATTAGCTCTTCCCCTAAACTAAGGCTGCTGTGACTCTTAAGCTGGCTTTTAAAATTTTATTCAACATACCTCTTAGGCTGAAATATTCTTTAAATGACTGATGCAAACTTCACAAATACGCATACAAATGTTCGAATAATGTCGCTAAGTAACATGGTATATAAATATGTATTCAGAGTAACATTTACATATTGGCCATAATAGCAAGCATACCATTAACAAAAAAAAAAAAAAATTCATGAAGAAACTTCACCTGTTCATGTCAGAATCGCAAGGCGAGGAGGCACACCTAGGGATGAGGACCAACTAACCCCCTGACCTCTAACCTGTGAGGCCATAGCTTCAGTCAAAGAAACACTACAGCAGCACTTCCCAGATCACCGGTGCTCAGAACTTCAGCTGCATCAGGGTCATGGGAGCACTTATCAGACTGGATGGGTGGTGGGGCCCAACAATTTACATTTCTAGCACATTCCTAAGGTGCAGCTGCTGGTCTGGGGGCCACACTTTGAGAACCACTGATGTGCTTGGCTGTCTCAGTGAAGACATCCACTCTGTCCTCCTAAGGCCTTTTCTTGCCTACAGATGGGGAAAAACCATTCCTAACCTGCTCTCTGCCCTGGCTTACCTGAACTTCGGCAGTGGGCTTGGGTGATTAAAATTGGCCGCCCCAATTTGCCTACTGTTTTTGAGCGGGCAGAGTAGAAAAAGAATACTCATTCTGGATCTGAAAACAATATGCGTGAAGGAAAGTAATAAATGGCAGTACCCAGCCTGGTGGCACCCAAAATCCCTGCTTTCAAGCTTTTAATACTGTCTCAAAGCTTCTGGAGGTCCAAACTCACTGGCATTCACTTTTCTGTCAACTGATAACCCATTCAGGGTCTTCCTGAATCCCTGGTGGCCTCAACAACAAAAACCGCAAAGCCAACAGTGTCCTGCTGGGGAGGCCTTGGGCCAGGCAGTCAGCCCCACTTCTGGAGTTCTCACTGGGGAGGGGAAGGCTCTTGCCTGCACCTTGCAGCCCAGGCCTACACCAAGAGCTGCCCTGCACAACTCAGCACACTCATCCCGACCAAGTGTGCAGTTCTTTGCCACCCCCAGGAGGCACACCTGCACCTTGATGGCCTGCACTGCCCAGCACATGTCAACCCTTCGCAGGCCTATCCGGGAAAGAAGTTTTAATAACTTACCAAAGATTGGGAGGTGGTGTAGTGCAAAGAACACTGAATTGGGAGTTGGTATTTGTGTTTTAGTTCTTGTTCTGTTCCCACCTGGCTGTGTGATAATTTCAGTTTCTGGGCTTCATTTTACCTATGGGGGATGGGGTGGTACTAGTGATCTCCAGGGTCCCTTCCAACTCTGACAATCTTGAATTATATAAAAATGCTATAAAATCCGTGGTATAAAATCCAACTCCCAAACAGGAAGAGTCAAGGGGACTGGGCCTGAGGCACTTGAACCCTGGGCTCTGGCCTGGGGGGCAGGGATGAGAAACGGGGCTTCCTGCTTTGCCCTGTGCTTTCCCACCCACTAAGGCAGCTGCTAGTCCCAGCTGCCAGGGTCCCTCCCCCTCCAGACCCAACCCTCAAGTCCCTCTCCCCCACTGACCTCCCCACCCTGATTTTCGACCGAGGGAACTGTGTCTGCAGTGGCCTTGCTTTGTGAAGACATCGGGCCCAGAGAAGAGGGCGGCCAAGTCACATTAGCACGGCCTGTTGGGGTCCCACCACCCAGCCTCTGCCCTCGCTCCTTCTTCCTTTAGGTCCTTCCTCCCCCACCTCACAGCTTATCTCTGACACACGCTTAATAAATAAGACATTTGCACATAGGGTAATAGGGTCAGCTCTTCCCGCCCCGCCCCCTTTCATATAAAAGCATTAAATACAGTTTCCAAATAAAATACAAAGAGCAAAAAAGGGCCGGATCTCAGGGCCAGCTGTTCTCCACAGGAGAATGAATCTACACATCCCTCTCGGACCTGCCTGGGAGATCGCGGGGCCCCTTCCCCACCTCGCAGGGCCTGGCGCTGCCGCGGGGAAGAGAAAGGAGGCCGAGGCCCGGCCCCGGGCCCTGGGGACTGAGAACGGGGGGTGCGTCCCCCACGGACAAAGGGGAACGGGGACGGGGCGGGAATAGAACGCCCCCGGCCGGGACCGCCAGTGCCCCGGGCTCGGACGGACCTGGCGCTGGACCAGAGCGCCCGACTCTGAGCGTAAGGGTAAGCGGAGGCCCTCAGGGCAGGAGGAGCGAAGGAAAAAAGTGCTAATTCCTTTCTGCGATCTCCGTCCGGGCAGGCGTGGCGGCGGCCCGGGGAGGCGGCGGGGCCGCGGGGTGCGCGGGCGTAGCTGGCCGGGCCAGGCGCGCTAGCTCGGCCCGGCGCCCGCCCCACCCGGCCCCGCCTCCCGCTGCCGGCCCCCGTCCGCAGCCCGGGCCTCCGAGAGGCCGAGAATACCAATTACGCAGGGCGGCCAGCAGCCCCGAGCCGGGAGCCTAGCCTGCCGGCGTGCAGGGCTGCAGGGGACCGGGCCCCCGGCCAGGGCGAGGGCCGGCGCGTCCTTTCCGCCTTCCCCACGCCCCTCCTTCGGCCTTAATACTGACTGCCGGCGTCCCCATGCCCGCCCGGCGAGGAGCGCTCGGTGCTACCGCGTGGAGGCCGCTTTGGCTTCTCCGAAAACGTGGGGCCCTGTGTGGGGAGGGCCGGGGCTCCGGGGCCCAGGGGCGAGCGCGCTTCGCGCAGCGCCCGGGCGACCAGGGGACTCCGCGGCACGGAGCAGAGGCGCCCGGTCTCCGCCCGGCCCGGCCAGCGGGGGGCGCGGCAGCGGCGGGGCCGCGGGAAGCTCTTGCATCCGGCCAGGGCTCCCGCCGAGGGCCGGGCCGCCTCCGCACGGCCCGCCGGGCCCGAGAGTCCGCTACGCCCGGCACACGGCGCCCGGCTTGAGGTCCGCGCCGCCGTCGCGCGGGGCCGGGGCGGGCGGCCCGAAGCCCTCGTGGCCGTAGCAGCGCAGCGCCGCCTCCTCGTAGGCCTCCAGGATGGTCTGGCGCTCCTCGGGCGTGAAGTCCATGGAGAAGGGGTGCACCTGCAGGATGTGCCGCTTGATGGTGCTCACCTTGAGCGTGGCCAGCGCGCCCCCGCACACCATGCACACCAGGCCGCGCCGGCTGCCGTCGTAGTCCATCAGGTACTCGCCCCGCCAGCGCGGCTGGTAGTTCCGTCGCTGCTCCCGGCTGCGGGGCGGCGGCGGCGGGGGAGGCGGCGGCGGCGGCAGCGGCAACACGAGTCCCCCCGGCTCCTGGCTGTCCTCGTCATCCTCCTCTTCCTCGGCGGGCCGCTCCAACAGAGCCCCAGGGGAGAGCGGGACGTCGCCTGAAAGGGACAAAGGGCGGCGCTGGAGCTGGTGGGGGTAAACAGGCCGGGACCTGCGTCCCGCCTCCACGACCCCGCCCCCTCTGCCCCGTACCCCCACTCTCCCTTCTACCCAGGCAGCACCCAACCCTCTCCCCCTGCCTGGCTGGGAGCCCTGCCCGCTCTCCCTCTCCACCTGCTCTGGCCCGCACCAGCTCACCCCACCACTCCTCCTCTGGCTCCGCCTCGTCCCCTCCCCCCTCCTCGGAGGCCGCAGCTGTGCTGGGGGCGGCAGGGCCCCGGGGGGAATCGGGGCCGGGCAGCCCCAGGGCCAGCAGGTGGGCGGCCTTCTCGCTCCACTCCTGGGCGATGAGGGCCTTGACCGGCCCGCTGAGGCGGGTGGAGCCCGGGTGGCGCTGGCGGATGTGCCGCTTGATGGTGCTCATCTTGAGCGAGGCCAGCGAGCCCCCGCACACCATGCACACCAGGCCGCGCCGGCCGCCGTCCAGCTTCATGAGGTACTCCAGCCGCCAACGCTCCTGGTAGTGGCGGCGGTGGTCGCGGCCCCGTGGCGACCCGCCCGGGACCCCCACCCTCTCTCCCTCGCCCTCCTCCAGCTCCTCCTCCTCCTCTGCCGGCCCGGGCCTCTCAGGGACCCAGCCAGCCTCTTCCTTTACGTCTGGGGGGCTGAGATCCTGAGAGGAGGGGGCTCCAGCAGCGGGGGCCGAGTCCCGGCTCTTTCTGGTCAGGTCCTGGGGGATGAGGTCATCGTCTGTTGGGGAAGGGGTGAGGGAGAAGGGCTCAGCCCGCTGGCTGGGGTGCCCTTACCCACGCAGAGGGGTCCATCCTTGCTCCTCACCCCAGCACCAAGCTAGAGGCCCTGGCGCACGTGCGTGCGTGCTGTGTGTGTGTGTGTGTGTAGGGGGTGGGGGTGAGTTCCTGGCCTTCAGCCCTCAGCTAGAGGTTCCTGCCTCCCAGTTTTGGCCACAGACCCCACTGTGCAGCCCTAATATGAGAGGGGTCTCAGCCTGGGATGGGCCTCGCACCTGCTGGGGACTGGGTGAGCTCAGACAGCGCCGCAGGCTGGCCACCCCAGGCCTGCAGCAGGGCACTGCGCTGGGGGCCGCTGAGCCCCAGAGAGCTCGGGTGCACCTCCAGCACGTGGGCACGGATGTCGTCCAGGTGCAGGCTGGGCAGTGCCCGGCCACAGGCCATGCA